GTTAGGAGGCTGCTGTGAAGATGTGCAGGAATCGCATTCCAAACTGACAGCCTCTGCAAATCTCCCATTGATAGCTGTTTTACACTCATCTTTTACACTTTAGGGGTTTTATTTTACTTCTTTATTCTTTATTTCGTTATTCAGAGGAGATTGTTGCTGGGTTTCCTTTCTTCTCTCTCCACCCCATCCTGATAAGTTAAGACTTCTGTATCAGGACATTCATATAACAGATGTTTTGCAAGTTGTTTCCCTGCCCCACAACATTCACCTCATTTTCTGGTCTGCATCCCTCCCTCTCTCCTGCTCATTTACACATGGATGATTCCAGGGTTTGTTTGTTTTTTCCCATGCAGAAGCTCAGATAATGCTGGAGGTGATGGAATTTGATTTGATTGTGTAAGGAAATTCTTATTATGTGGCTGAAGAAGCCTCAACTGCAAACATATTTTCACATATCTAACCCTAGGGATGTTGGAGAATTTAACTGTAAATGGAAATGGGACTAGGAATTGCCAAAATTTACATCTTCACCCAAGGTCAGGATAGGAAATCGCACCAGCAAACACAAGTGGTATTCATTAGCATTTTATTTTTTTTAGTTTGTGAACGTAACATAATAATGCTGTTTTCTGCATTGTTTTTGACAGGTCCCTTCCACTGAAATGCATTGAAGTTAATTACATAATGAATCATGTTAGTTCCCACCACAGCAAATAGTGAGATAAACAACGTCACTTTTAGTGGGAGCTGAACAATAGTGGAAGGGAAACACTGCTGATTGTGATGAACATAGGATGGGGTGGAAGCTGCCCCTTCCTTATACTCCTGTCTATGAGTTCCCTGGGAAGAGACATTAGTTGTTAAACTGCTCTGGAGGAGAATGGTTCCCAGGATTTTCTGGGAAAGGTCATGACTGTTTAAAATGTTATGATACTGCTTTAAGTGTATAGTGTCGATGGGGGCCTAGAACTGCCTTCTACTCATGCAAGAGAACAGTAGGATCCCTTCCCCATCCAAAGGCTAACATATTACTGAGCGTGCCCAAAGCTACAATTCACTTCCAAAGAATAATGTACAATGAATGCTGAGTTACTCGGAAGACGAGCAGAATACAAATGTGACAAATAAATCAAATTCTAAATTCCAAACATATTTCTATGAATTTTGACATAATTTGTTCCATTTGGCAGGCACTTGGTTCTATAAGAGTCTACAAAGATGTGCTTAACTTTTTAAGTAAAACCAAATGGATGTCTAAATTTGGGTTTGAAATGCATGCAGATGTGTAAACACAACTGGCTGTCATTCAGGATGTCACAGGGTTTTGAATGCCTCCTTCTAAAATAGTGGCCTGATTATTTCTGTCGTTGAAAATGTACCCATTAACTATTGAAAAGACCCATAAAATAGGTATGCCCATATGCCTGATGATCTGAATGTGAATCATGAATACTTCCACTAAAATAAATTACACAACTTTTCACTAAGGGACAATTTCCCCAGCATTAGGAGTGGAGCAGCAAAGAAGGTAAGTTATATGTGCAAATTTATGCAAAGCATCAGTGGAAGAAGAGCAACCGTAACTCAGTGTTTCAGGTTACAATACATTTACCATAGGTATGCCATGAAGAAGAAATGTCAGTCCCTTGGGTGTCTGTTTGTGCATCTGTCTGTGTGCATTTTTTAAACTAAAATGGACAGGAGGCATTACTATGGTACTGAGCTGAATTGTGCTGCTATCGGAAGTGGGGAGGGATGGAATCATTCCTTTGACTCTGCTTTCATAGTTACAAAAAAACCAGAAGGAAAATAAAAGTAATCACCAGTCTGTAAACTGCACAGCTTTGATTTTCAATGCATAATTTAATGCATGTTTTGACCTTTTGGTGTGCCATATGAAGCTTTGATCCTTAACAGCCGACTGTCAGGGTGAACTTTGCATAAGCTCAAAACAATATAGTTTTTAAAAAATCACTCAAGTGATTCCTTTTTTTTAAACAAAAGCACACACATACAATCACCTTTAGAAGATGCTGCTGGACAAATGCCACAAAAAGGAGCACCCAGGCCTGTGTGTTTACAGGTCACAACTAAACAGGCTCTGTTAGTGAGCACAGACAAACTTCCTGAATTGTATAGCAAGCAATGAGGCCCCCAAAGTGTCAGATTAAGAGATGAAGCTGCTATTGCAATTTGAGCAAAGATAAAGGACAAGAGGAAATGTACAACTCATCCTCTCTATCTTCCTTCAGCTGAAAATCCACCTCTTTCATGAAGTATTCAGCTTAATTCCTCAGTTATCCTCATCCCCAGTTGAAATAAAGCTTAGGTATGTATAAATGTATTTGCTGCTTGCATCCATCCTTTGTTTACCTTTGAGAACACAGGAAGCTGCCTTGTACTGAGTCATTGGTCCATCGTACTCAGTATTGTCTGTGCTGTCTGGCTGTAACTCAGATTGGGGTATCTTCTGGTGATAGAACTATTGCAGTTATCAATATTGTACAGCTTGAAGCCATTGAGTGCATAAAAACTGAGCCCTTTTGGAATAATAATTGTCCAGACCCATACTTATGATTCAAAGCTTTACTAACCAGAACTTTTTCAGGTACAGAAACAAATCCACGATACATCCCAATGGTTCCATAAGACATATGTTTGTCTAAGCATAGGCTCAGCATCTTCTTAGAAATATCATATAACTCCAAACAGACCTAGAATCAAAGGTCTTTCTCTCTCCTCACAGCCTCCATTGGCCTGAGATACTCATTTGTACATCCTTCTACCACTGTGCCAGGGAACAAAAGACAAAGGCAACTCCCTTCAAAATGGCGATGTGCAATTGAATACCTTAATCATGTGATCTAAGGTTAAGCATTCACGTGGAAGAACAGAGAACACCAACAGTTAATCACTAACCCAGCCAGAAGCTCAGAGAACTCTCTCTCTTTAGTAAACTCCAATGGAATTTTCCAATGCTAAACCCCTCATCAATATACATACAGGCATTCTCTGTTTCAGAGCACTGAATCCCGGGCATATGGCAACCCATGTCGGAAGTGTAGATTTTGGCTAATTTCCTTAAAAATAGCTCAAAACTTTATTTTTGGCAAAAAACAAAAAACATAACAGAACCCTATGGCAACTCTAACTTACACAATTATACTTAACAAGAACCTGGGGCCTTCTGGGAACAGTTGTGGACCACAGGTATGAAATTTACGGCATGTAATGCCTTAAGAGAGAATATTATGAAAATGATATACAGGTGGTACATAACCCCAGTCAAGCTTGCAAAAATCCATCATTTGCCCGATAATAAATGTTGGAAATGTAAAGAAACTGAAGGTACATTTTTTCACCTTTGGTGGACGTGCCCAAAGATTAAGGCTTTCTGGGAAATGATATATAATGAATTAAAAAAGGTATTTAAATATACCTTCCCTAAGAAACCAGAGGCCTTTCTCCTTGGCATGGTCGGCCAAATGGTGATAAAAAAGGATAGAACTTTCTTTATGTACACAACAACAGCAGCAAGAATACTCATTGCAAAGTACTGGAAGACACAAGAACTTCCCACACTGGAGGAATGGCAGATGAAACTGATGGACTATATGGAACTGGCGGAAATGACTGGTAGAATCCGTGACCAGGGAGAAGAGTCGGTGGAGGAAGATTGGAAGAAATTCAAAGATTATCTACAGAAACACTGTAAAATTAAAGAATGTTAGAGTGATGTTGGATTGAAAATAAGTGGTTTACAGCTGTACAGGATTTAAAGCTATAGATATACTAAGATTAAGGATTAGGATTAAAGAAATTTAAGGAAATGGAAATTTGGCTTTTAAGAGGCAAAATTTTAATGTTATATTAAGATTAAAGATTGGGAATAAAAAAGAGGGTATGAAATTGCTGAATAAACAGTTTGAATTCGAATACAAAAGAGGGAGGTATGAGGAAGTCCAGAAAATAAGTAAATTTAAAGATGGAAATGAAAAGGTGATATTGTTTTTAATTGTTCTATTTTCTTTTTTGTCTTTTGTCTTTCTTGTTCCTTTTTTTTTTCCTTTTGGATTATGTATTGTGTATTTTTGAATTGTGTATTTCTTTTTTATGTTTTATGTTTAATCTTTTATTGAAAGTTTAATAAATATCATAAAAAAAAAGAACCTGGGGCCTTCTGCATGCAAAGCAGATGCTTTCCTGTGGCTCTTTGCCTGTCCACCTCTTCCACCACTCACTTGTCTGCCTCAGTTCAGACTAAGTGCCTTTAATGTGTTGGTGGGGCAATAGCAACAACAATACAAAGCAGATATTTGGGAAGAGAGACCAATTTGTACTAAACAGGTAATCTGAAAAGCAGTGGTAATTTTAGTAATTTTAGACTTAATGTTTTTACTGAATTTTTACTGAATTTACTGAATTGGAGTTCTCTTTAGATGGCAATGTGTAATACTTCACTATGTGACAAGCTAGGCTATCTGAAACTGAGGGCCCACAACCAGCAGGGGCCCACTGACAACAGATGCATGCACCTTCTCTTTCTTTTCACCATGGCAACCAGCTGCTTGTTTGCCTGCTTCTTGCTCAGGCCTAGACCGCAGTGGTGGTAAGAAGGAGTAGCAGTCGATGCCACTGGCTGCTTGCTCATTGACTCTCTGCCTGGCATGCGAGTGGCTGGTTGTAATGATGAGGGAGTAATAAACGTTGGTAATAATGGCAGTGTGGAGGTAGACTCACTGAGGAAAAGAGGACCATGAAGGCCATCTTGCCCAACGGTCCTTCAAGACCTGCAGGCAACACTGCACTTGCTCATTCTGTTGGGTGAGGTGCTGGGCCCTGCTCTGAAGTCTTAACCTGATGCCTCCAACCTTTGAAAGATGTAGTTCAAGGCAGCTTGGGATAGAAGTCTTGCCATACCTAAATATTGTGGTGCTCACTTTTAAAGCCCTACACAACTTGGAACCTGGGTACTGAAGGTCTGCCTACTTTGGAAAAGGGGAGTAGCTCAGTGGTAGAGCATGAGTTTTGCATGCAGAAGGTCCCAGGTTCATTCCTGGGCATCTCCAGGCAAGGCTGGGAAAGGCTCCCTGCTTGAAACCTTGAGAGCCGCTGCCAGTCAGTGTGGACAATACTAAGCTAAATGGACCAACTGTCTGACACAGGCTAAGGCAGCTTTCTATGTTCCTTTTATGTACACTACAGTAATCTTCAGAGGTCCTCTGGATCAGAGGAATAGAATGATGTTGGTTGGTGTCCCCATTGTGGCCAAAATGCAGTTTGTGAATTTATCCTTGGCTTCCCCCATTCTGTTAAAACACTATACAATAGAAGTTGCCCCAAGTTCACCTGCAGTGTCAAAGCAGTGGAGAACTCTTCCATCCCTAAATATAACATAAATAAGAACTGGCAGCTAACAAAGGAGGCTTTTAGCCCCACAAATTTAGCCGAAGATCCAGTAGCTTTATCATTATGCCTTGCTCTCCCCCCTGCTCTGGGTGAGACCTGCAGACATTATTATTTGAGATGCATTTTGACCCTTTCCCTGTGAAATCGGAACAGGGTCACCCAGGAAAAAAAGCAGAGAACATCTCACCTGTGCCTTGAATTACTCAATGGTCCTCGGGAGTCAGCAGAGTTCAGCCTAAATCATGTTCAGTGTGCTGCTTGGAATTATGTATGAGCTGCTCTGATTCAGTTTGGAGAAAATAAAATAAAATGGGGAGGTAGGAAGTTCCTAGGGCGCTCCCACCCCCCAAATTCTGTGTCCATGCAAGTCTGGTAGGCAGTGCATTATCTATTAATACAATTGCTATCATTCATATCTTTGGCTCAGTTAAGAACCAGAGCGACGATTTATAACCCCATTTAAGAAGGGGAAATCTGTTTCACTGATCAAATGTCTCTAGCGATGCTAGAAGAAATGATATCAGTTCTGACTTCTGAACAGCAAATCAGGCAGTCCCTTTGAATGGGCAAAAATACACCTCCCTTGGATATTTGCGAAATTCAATCACAGTTTCATTCAGACTGGAGCTTTAGATATTACTGGCAATCCCGAGGAGGAACTTCAAGTGCCAATAGATCAGGAGACAACAGCTTGTTCATATTTCAGGAAATTAAATTGGCTTTTAGCCTCAGAACGCCTAATTTGTTGAAAAACAAGAAGTGAAAGAACTATTTCAGGTAACCACACCTTCAGCACACAAATACCTGCTTCAAGATCCATGACTAATTATGATGCATCCCTCGACTGCACACAGAGTTTTGTGGATTCATGATGGAATGGGAGAGGTTATACACAATCCCACTTGCAATACTCTTTGCACTCAGTACAAATTTAGAAGTGGGCATAGTACTTTGCTTCCAATTCATGCATGACCCTTGGATTCCTGCTGACGTCCTGTAACGTTCCATGCCACTAATGTTTCAGTTTTTCTTTTCTTTTCTGCCTTTGTTGTTCAAGAGTACCCCTCCAGAAGGAAATAAGGCAGTAACACTGGGGAAGCACCACAGAACTACTTATAAAGTGGAATGAAGTATGGATGGTCCAGCATAAATCCACTACTAATGTACTATTACTGACATGTTGTGGAAAACGCCAGCAAAGAGCCCCAGTCTGGAGAGGCTGATGAGGAAAATGTACAGTCTATAATCAGAGCACGTATCTGCATTGTTCTTCACCGGATTCAGCTGGCCTTCTTACAAGGTATGACCTGAAAGTTTAGTGAATGGTCACAGAAATCGGACAGTGAGAAATATTTGAACATACATACCTTACAGGTCTTCAAAGTAGGCCCCCTCTGATACAATGTACCGTTGACAACATTTGTAGAACTGTTGGAAACTTCTGGAGAAGTCCTCTTTTCGTACTTCTTTCGGTTCCCTGGTCACAGCAGCTTGGACATGTGAAATGATGGAAAATCTGTGCACTTTCAGTGCAGATTTCAGTTTTGGAAAAAGAAAGAAATCCGGTCAGGCCAGGTCAGGCAAACATGGAGGGTGGGACAACTCAGTAATCTCAGTAACGATTTCACGTGGAATATGCAATTCTTCCACCATCATTCGGATGGACAAACGCCCATCCTGCATCAATAACTCACGAACTCTGTCGACATTTGCCGCTGTTCTGTTAATCAGCGGTCTGCCAGACCAGGGGTCAAGTTCGATGGTTTACCGCCTGTCAGGGAACTGCCATCGGACGGAAGGGAGGTGAAAGGGCTCACACAGGTTGGGAGAGACGCAGCAGCTGAAGAGGGAAACAACAGGGAGGTGAAAGGGCTCACACAGGTTGGGAGAGACGCAGCAGCTGAAGAGGGAACCAGCAGGGGGGAGAGGAGCTGAGCTGGAGGGATGGCTCAGAGACACTTCCAGCGAAACAGCGGGGAGGTTTCAGGACCTCCTGTAAGAACACCCACTCCTCGCCGGAAACTGTCACGCAGAGATTCCAGAAGACGTGTTTCCGTTAAGGAGCTTTTATGTTGGAAGCGATTACGAAAGCAACCACTGTCGGAATCTGCTAGTGACTAGAGTAGCCATGTCTGAGGGGCTCCGTCACAGACAGAGGTTTGTGGACTTGAACAAACTCTGAGGGGATACGATTTTACGCACAAGCAGCTCATCATCCCATCACAGCATTCCGACAGTCTTTGAAAGCAGCTTGTGCAGGAGAAGGCATCATGAGCAACCCAGCCGGAACCGGAGAAGCAGGAGCTGGAGCGGGTCCAAGCCTGGAAGAAAGGTACCAGATGTTGGAGGTCCAGCTAGCGATGCAGACGGCGAGGCTTGAGGAGAGGAGGGCTCAGGATGCAGACAAAAGGGGAAAGCCACCCAGTTCGCCAGAAAGGTACCAGGATTGGTGCAGAAGTTTGGGGGGGAGCCCAAAACTATCATGGTTTTCGGACAGAAATGCAATATGCCCTCAATCTGCAGTTTGATGAATTCCCTGACGAGGAATCACGAGTGGCTTTCGTGATTGAGCATCTTGAAAAGGGGGCGAGAGACTGGGTTAGACCCCTGATGGCAGCGAATAGTGACGTTTTAAAGGATACGATGAAGTTCTTTCGCGCCATGGATCTGATGTTTTCCAGCGATATTGAAAAGGGAGTGGTGCGCAGACAGTTAATGGGTTGCAAACAGGGAGCCGATCTGTCCGTGAGTACTGGACTGAGTTCACCATGCTTGTTCACAGATTGGGGTGGGACTTATCAGCGGAACCCATTCAAATGCTCTTTGAAGAAGGGCTTTCTTCGGCTGTGAAAGACGAACTTTCCCGGGCGCCCAGGGCGGAGTCTATGGACCAGCTGACCAAATCAGCGCTGGCCATAGGAGTGCGCCAGGAGGCGAGAGCATTGGAGAGGCGGGAAGGGAAAGGGGAACGTTGGAAGGAGTTCCGCATTCCAGACATTCCAGAGCCAACTTTCCCACCGGCAGAGCCGATGGAAATTGGAACAGCGCGCGCGCGCAGTTTCAAAGCCCAGTGAGGGGGCAAAGAAGGAGGGAAAAGGCGCCCGGAAATGCTATCTCTGCCAACAGCCAGGTCACTTTGCCAGAGTCTGCCCCCAGAGGAAAGAATGGCAAGGGATGGTAGGAGCTGTGGATGGAAGAGAGGAAAATATACCGGAGCAAGTAAAGCCAACGCCTGGCTGCCACTGTCAGGGCACAGCAGCCAGGCCAAAGAGCAGTGAGAGTGCCCACGCCAGAACCTCCTAAACCCGCCCTAGTGATAGAAGTGACGCTAGAGCTGCCAAACGGACACCCTCTAAAGATAAAGGCGCTGTTGGACTCAGGCAGCTCCTGCAATTTCATGAGCAAAGAGTTTGCAGCTGAACACCAGATACAGACAATCCCTTTAAGCAGCCCCCTGCAGGTGACCACGATCGATGGCAGGGAGCTGTTGGGTGGAGAAGTCAGCTTGCAGACCGTCCCAATGATAATGAAGGTAGCAAGGCACACCGAACTGATAGCTTTTAATGTGGCCACCTTGGGAGGAGCTCCCATTATATTGGGGATGAGCTGGCTAGCGTTACATGATCCGCTGGTGGGCTGGCATCAGAGAGTGGTTTCTTTTGGTTCAGCACATTGCTTAGAACACTGCAAAGAGGGAAAGGGTTTGGCAGGGGTCCAAGCCACCCTAGCAGGGACTGAAGTAACAGAGAACGTGAAGGTACCACGACAATATGCAGATCTCCGTGACGTCTTCAGCGAAAGGGAAGCTGACCAACTACCCCGCATAGACCCTTTGACTGTCAAATCAACTTACTCCCTGGAGCACAGCTCCCTGTAGGCAAGCTGTACGCCATGTCAGACAGAGAGATGCAGGAGTTAAGAGAGTTCATTGACAAGAACCTGAAGAGAGGGTTCATCAGAGAGTCCAGGGCGGTGGGGGGGCAGCCCAGTGTTTTTTGTGGATAAGAAAAACACGAGCAAGCCGAGGCTGGTGTGTGACTTCAGGGCCTTAAATGCAGTGTCAAAACCAGTAGCCTTCTCTATGCCCAGGATTGACGACATTTTGACAAGGGTGCGGAAGGGAAAGATTTTCACAAAGCTGGACCTAAGGGGGGCGTACAACCTGGTACGAATAAGGAAGGGGGATGAATGGAAAACCACTATGTTCACCCCTTTAGGGGCATTTGAATATTTGGTTATGCCCTTCGGCCTACAAGCAGGCTCCGCAACATTTCAATCGTTTATGAACCACGTCCTGGGGCCTTTGCTTTACAAGAATTGTGTGGCCTTTTAGACGACGTGTTGGTGTATTCTGAGAATGAGGAGCAGCATGTGAGAGACGTCAGAGAAGTGTTGAGCAGGCTGCAAGCCAACCAGCTGTGGGTGAAACTGGAGAAGTGTCAGTTTCATACCAAGGAGGTGGAATTCCTGGGGTATCGCCTGTCAGACAAGGGATTGGCCATGGATCCCGGCAAGGTCCAGGCGGTGCTGGAATGGAAAACACCCAAAACAAAGAAAGATGTGCAGAGGTTCCTAGGATTTGGGAACTTCTATCGTAAGTTCATCCGAAACTTTGCCCACCTGACGGCGCCCATTACGGACTGTCTCAGCAGTAAGAAGA